TGACCAATAATTATAATTATTAATTATTTTTAATAATCAAATCAAATATATTAATATTTTTTATGTAGCTTTAATATTTTTTGTATGGTCATAATTAGATTTTTTATTTAAATATGATAAATTATAAAAAAAAGACCAATAATATTTTTATTAAATTGATATCTATTAATTTAAAAAATTTAATTTGAGGGTCACATTTCAATGATTCATCCGACTATTGATTTGAATTAAATAAAGAAGATAGGAAAACAATTTTCTTATTTGAAAAAAAGGGTTTCTCCCCTTTTTTATTTTAATTCTCTTTATATTTTAAAGGAAAATGGAGGGATTTTATTTTCCCCTCGGTTGCACCTGGTCTTAAGGCCTAATGGCATTAGCCATCGGTGGATTCCCTCTCCCAAGCAGAATTCGAAATTCACCCTTTACAAAATATGTTAAAAAAAAAAAAAAAAAGTGTCGGCAATGATATCTGGAAACCAGTCGCCCTTTTTTATATTTCTTAGAAGAATATACCCTCCACCAATGGTTCTCGTCATCGACCATTCTCTTCCCCTTTTATTTTCATTTTTTAAAAATAGAAGAATATACCCCCCAACAAACTTTCTCACCATCGACCATTCTCTTTCTTTTTTATTTTTGAGTAATAATATGCGGGACGACTTGGTGGACGAAATTGGTGAACGATAAATATTAAAAAAGATTAAATTAATAATTATATCACATGTATAAATCATCTTAATATCTGTTGTCCCTCAATTTCGTCCTCTCGGTGTCATTCCGCATATCATTACTCTTTATTTTTATATCTTTAAAAAATAGAAGATTATACCCTCATCACTAAACATTCTCGCCCTTACTACCAAAAAAACCATTGTCGCCCTTTTTGACTAAAGAGGTCTCTGAAATTTCAGCAACGTCTCTGTGGCTCCCTCTCATACGCTCTTCCATTTGTTCTAGCATACAACTTACCACCCATCTCTTTCTCCATCTGCAATTTCATTTTCAGCAAGGCTCCCCTCTGTCCACACTTTGTTTAGCTCTTGATCCACTCTTTAGCCATATTTTGAAGGAATCAGCTCTCCTCTGCTATCATTTCATCAACCAGATCTCCTCTCCTTCACATTCTGCTGCAGCATACATCGTCTTAGCAGCCATCTCTTCTATTCCTCTCTCTCTTGGATCACGCACATCTCCACTACTTTTCACTATTCAAAAAAAAAAGCTAAATCCAAGGTACATATACGGAGGCTCTTGCTCTCTAAATTTTCGCTTCTGCTCTCTTTAATTAATTATTTCTTTGCAAAAAAAAAAGGGGGGAAAGTAGTTTTAAGGAAAAAAAAGAGAGAGGTTAGATTGTAAAATTGCATAATGCTTGCTTTCTCCTTTAAATGTTCTGTTTGAGAAAGGAATAAAGTTCTAGCCAAAAATAGAAAAAAAAAATAAAAAAAGAAGAAACACAGTGATTAAAAAATCATGTTCACTGCTCTCTCGCCTTATTATTATTTTTGTTTTGTATTTTTTTTTTCTGAATTTATGATATTGGGCGCTTAACTATATAGTATTACTTGATTTTTACAGAACCTTGTTCCTCATTATGGAAGCTGTTGGAAACGCTGCTCTCTGTGTTTCCTTGGAGCGGTTGATCGACTATTTGGGATCCAAGTTGCTTGGATGGTGGAATCAACAGGAGCAGGTTGGTGATGACTTGCAAAATTGGAAGAGTCTTTTGCCCAAAATACGGGTTGTGCTTGATGATGCGGAGAAGAGGCAAACAGCCGATCCTGCTGTGGAGACGTGGCTTTCTGACCTCAGAGATTTGGCTTATGATATGGAGGATGTCTTTGATGGAATAGAGGCTGATGAACGAAGGAAGGAATTGACTGCAAAAACTGATCAACCCAGCACAAGTAAGAAACGAAAGTGGATCCAGATGTGCACTGGCTTTAATCAGGATGATTTGATCCTGGATCATGAGGCTGTTTCCAAGATAAAGGAGATTTCTGTCAGATTGGAACGTATTGTGGGAGGAAAGGAAGCACTGGAGCTGAAAGTTGGAGAGGCAAGAAGTAGCATAGCAGCTTCACGATGGGAGCCGACCACTACTACTTGGTTGCCTGAAATTCATGTCTATGGTCGAGAAGGCGACAAAGATGCCATTCTTCAAAAAGTGTTGAATGATGAAGATGGTGATGAAAACCCTCATGTGATTCCCATTGTTGGCATGGGTGGACTAGGGAAGACCACATTGGCTCGACTTGTTTACAATGATGCTAGACTGAAGGGTGTGTTCGAGCCTAAAGCTTGGGTTTGTGTATCTGATGAATTTGATATTCGTCGAATAACACGATCTATTCTTGAACAAATAACTCAAAATAAGTGTGATTCTGAAGATCCTTCTGTACTTCAAGGGAAGGTGAACAAAATGTTATCTGGGAAGAAGTTTCTACTTGTATTGGATGATGTTTGGAGTGAGGACTATCACTGTTGGGACGTATTGCAAAGAGTTTTTGTATCAGCTGCAGTTGGGAGTAAAATAATTGTTACATCACGCATTGATGGTGTTGCCAAAACTATGGGAGCAAGTGATAGAATTTATCGTCTTAAAGTGCTTCCAGAGGACCAATGTTTGTCATTATTAGCTAGACATGCATTGGGAAGGGAGAACTTTGATGCACACTTGAAACTCAAAGATATTGGTGTTGAAATTGTAAAGAGGTGCAAAGGGTTGCCATTAGCCGTAAAAACCCTTGGGGGACTCCTTCGTGGTGAGCTAAATCCTGACAAGTGGGTCAAGGTATTAAAGAGTGACATGTGGGAATTACCAGAAGGAAGAAGTCACATTCTTCCAGCTTTGAGATTGAGCTATCATCATCTTCCTGCTCATCTAAAAAAATGCTTTGTCTATTGTGCTATTTTCCCAAAAGATCATGAATTTCGCAAGGATGATTTAATTTTATTATGGATGGCTGAGGGATTTTTGCAACACCAGAAGAACGGAGGGCGGCAACTGAAAGGCAAAGGAGATGAGTGCTTTTCTGAGTTACTATCAAGAGGGCTTTTCCAACAATCAAGCAATAATCAATCATACTTTGTGATGCATGACCTTGTGCATGATTTAGCTGAATATGTTGCAGGAGAAACATGTTGCAATCTTGAAAATATGATACAGAGTGAGAAAATGGAGGTTAGTTTTGAAAAGGCACGCCATGCGTCATGCTCTTTTGCTGGAGTTTTTTGTTCTAAAATATGTTGGTTTCTGCGAAAGCCCAATAATTTGCGGACATTCCTAGTATTAGCTCGTGATTGGGAACGTTTTCCTGTGGATGGATTTTATCAGAAGTTCATACAAAAATTAAGATGCCCAAGGGTCTTATCTTTGCATGGTTGGACAATATCAGAGCTTCCAAATTCAATTGAGAAATTGAAGCATTTACGTTACATAGATTTGTCACGTAGTGCATTACAAAGCTTACCGAGTTCTGTGAGTTCTCTTGTGTACTTGCAAACAATGATACTATTCATGTGCCAACAAATCACGGAGTTGCCAGCTGGAATTGTGGATTTAGTTGACTTACACCATCTTGATATTAGGGGTACATCTCGCTTACAAAAGATGCCACCCCTAATGGGCAATTTGAAAAATCTTTTGATGTTGCCTAAATTTATTGTGGGAGAATCTGGTGGGCTGAGATTAAAAGAGTTGAGCAACTTGAAGGATCTACAAGGTGAGCTACTTATCGAACATCTCCATAATGTCTCTGATATTGAAGATGCCAGCAAGGCTAACTTATTTAAGATCGAGGGCCTTGAAGAGCTAACATTGGCATGGACTAATGACTTCCAGACTTCACGAGGAGAAAGTTATGAATTGCAGGTACTCAGTCAATTAAAGCCTCATTCCAATTTGAAAAGATTCAAAATTGATTCATACGGAGGCTTGGAATTCCCATCGTGGATAGGCAATCCATCATTTTCTAAATTAGAATGCTTGGAACTCAATGATTGTAAGAGAAGCACTCTATTGCCAAGGCTTGAACAATTACCACAACTCATGTGGCTAGAGATCAATGGATGCCCTCAATTAACTTATTCTCCAATGAGTCTTCCATCACTTCAGGAACTGTATCTGCACGATTGTAAAGAGGCAGTTCTCAACAGTGTTTTTGATTCCACTTCACTCACCGGGTTGGATATTAGCAGAATTTCAGAGCTTACTTGCTTGCCTAGAAGCATCACGCAAAACATGACCGCACTTGAGACTCTGACAATTTATGACTGCCGTGAACTTATTTTCTTATTGGAGGATGGAGACAGTCTGTCAAGCTTTTCTAGTCTTAAGAGGATGTCTATTGATGACTGTCCATGCCTCAAATCTTTTTCGACAGGTGAGTTACTTGCCAGACTTGAAGAGTCCACAGTTGAGAATTCTGAAAAATCTGAGTTCCTACGAGAGGGTGATGATAACAGCACTGTGACAGTGAATCTTGAAAGAACGAGTGTTTCTGGTTTGGAAAAACTCAATTTCCCTATTGATTGCATGCACAATCTCGGTCGTCTCTGCTACTTATCAATAGGTGATTGTAAAAGTTTTGAGTCCTTACCAGAAAGGTTGCTGTCTACCTCCACTCTTAAAACTCTGACGATTTCAGGTTGTGGTAATCTCAAGTTTCTGCCCAATGGAATGTACAATTGCACGTCTCTCCATGAATTGATTATAAGAAATTGTCCAGTTATAACATCCATTGCAGAGGGAGGTTTACCACCGAATCTTAAAAGGCTTGTGATCGATTGTGAGGGCTTGAAGCAGTCAACGTTAGAATGGAGGCTTGACACGCTTACGTCTCTTGAGATACTTGAGATTCGCTGGATATGTCCTCCGGATGATTTACTTCCCACTTCCCTAAAAACTCTTTCAATAGAAAGAGTGGGTAATCTGGAATCCATATCTCAAGGGCTCCTCCAAAACCTTGCTTCTCTTCAAAAGTTGAGATTTAGGGATTGCCCGAATCTCAAGACTTTGCCAAAGGAAGGTCTGCCTCCCTCGTTGGAAGTGTTCGACATCAGAGATTGTCCACTTCTAGAACAACGGTGCTTGAAGGAAATAGGAGACTATTGGCCCCTTATATCCAGCATTCGGGAGATAAATATACCGTCAATTGGACTCAGGTACAACAATATCCTACCACATCCTCAGCATGTTCTTCATCTTAATTTGAACACATAAATTTGTTACTACTATTCCCTCGTTTAGCAAATTAATATATCATTGTTAATTTAAGATAAAGCGAGTGGCTTTGTTCCTTCTCTTTTATTTTGGAATAGCCTTAATTTTCTTATCAATTCTTTCATCGGTTCCTTCAGTTCTAGGTTGTATACTTGATCTCACTTTCAGTGCATTTTTCCTTACGAATTTTGTAAGATGCGGACATTATGTTTTTCAAGTTTATTGAGGTGAAATGTGCACAATCATGCACTAGTTTCCATTTTTTCCGCATCATATCAGTTTACTCTTTAGTAATCAAAACTAGTTCTGCTGAAGATTCACTCGTAGATTTCATATTTAGACCGTGAAGTAATCACTTTTTGCTTTACTTTATGGATTCTTCTATATTTAAACTTGAACTTATAATAAGGCATGGAAGCTAATGATTTGGCTTTGGCTGTTGTTTATTTGTTTTCTCTGCTTTCCATGATCTATAGATCTCAGAGCGTAGAGTTTGATTATACCTGGTAGTTGTGAACATAGGCGGAATCAGTGAATTTGAGCAAATTTTGGAGTTGAATCTAATGTGGAACTGGTTGACGTTGATACTGCAGATGCTGGCATCATACAGAATGTAGGAGATGCATAAGAGAGAGGAGTTACAGTCTTAAGTCAGTGCCAAATGCAGAAGCTTATGATACTCTTTATGATAGTTTGTTATTTGAGAAACATTTGATAAAGTTGATTATTGGAAGCTGGATTCTTTTTCCTTTTAAACCAAATATGATGACACTACTGTCTGTAAAAACACAAAGGCCATGGAGCTTTTATGGCTTCCTACTACTTATTTGGCTCATTTTTATTGTTTTGATACAGTTTGGCTTGTGATGTTCCCAGATTATTGGCATCTTCCCACTACTGGTGATGTTCACAGCAACATGTTGAGCATTGGCCCTTCTTGTTGTCTGTTTCCTGTGACAGCTCACAGAAATGGACCTAGAAATGACACAGACATTTGCAATTTTCTATAATTCAAATCATGCTGCCATTAACCATAAAAAAGAAAGAGTTGCCAAGGAAGTTTGAAGCTCAGAAAAACAGTTAGGTCCTCTTAGGGCATGAAAAGTAAATCAATGGAGGCATTGTTTGATACGCTGATTTTTATGTTATCAATCAGCCTAACCTTTCCAAACCAAGTAGCAATGCAGAACACAACAGGGTTCTTGATCCCTTCCACTGCCTCCAAACTCTCTTGCTCCACAATCTACAAACAATATAAAAAACATAATTGTGGCATTGATCCTTTATAAGTTCCTCGCAAGTAAATATGCCTGTAACTTGGATTGCACCATCCTATTGACATGTGCTTCAACAATAGAGCACAACCTTGATAGAAAAAGACAATACAACATTCTGGTGATATGTCATAATTTACAAATAAAGTGCCTTTTTTTTTTTAAAAAAAAGGGATCTTTTTGCTATAATAAAACGCATCATTGATATTTTGGTGGAGGTTAGAGAATTTGTAATACAATGGACATTTGCAGCAACGTCTTAAAGGGTATCCCATTAAATACAGACTTGGATTTTGGTTATGCATTGCCTCTGGTCTTGTCTTGCCCTGTCTCCCTTCTGAGATGGTTAAGTCCAAAACCATGACGAAATAATGCTTGAGGAAGACAGGATGAGAAATTTCAACAATTACAAAGCAAAGCTGATTCTTGGAAATTGAAAATAGGCAATGAACAAGCATGGAAAACAGGAAGTTTCAGGGGATTCGATCAACAATCAACCGTTAGTGCATCCAACAACTTCATGTCAGCTAATGTCAATATGACAACTAATAGCATAATATCATACCATCATATCCAGTTTCTAAACAGGTGACCAACCAACTTCAATTACGAAGTTTAAAAGATAGAAGGCAGGTAATGTCAATATGACAACTAAATAGCATACTAACACATCCAGCTTCTATATCAGTCCAAGTGAAAAGAAAAAAGAAAAGGGAAGGAAAAGATGTTTTTGACTTACCTCAGCATAATCAATTCTTCCCCCAGCTTGAGTAATTGTTTGTACGACTGTATCTGTCAATTCTTTACAATTAACAAGACCTATTTTTGCATCAGATTTAGCTTTCAACAATGACCTGCTTATAGATAATGCCTGGGGAAATACAAACAAAAATTTCAATTGATGAACAAGAAAGATTATCAGCAATACAAAATAATTTGCCTTGGAATTGTCAAGTTAAGAATCTTCTCAAAATGCTTTCCATCAAACAGATAGTGAAAGAAAAAAAAGGACTTGAATCCTATACTTTGGACAAGATATGGGATATTTTAAGAAACTATTAGCATGCCTCAAGATTTAAAAAATAAAAAAGTGCAAGGGATTTTGAGAAAACCCTTTCCCTTTCTTCCGGGGAAAGATGGACATTTCGCGAACTAAATGCAAGGCCATCACTATCGTGCACAATATCAGACCCCACAATTTCCATGCCAAAATCTATATCTCTAACCTGTAGAAATAAAGCCAAACTAAAAAAATAAGCTATCAAATTAACACTGTAATTCATTATTGATTTCCATTACCAACATTCCAATCATTCTTGCCAAAAATAAAGGATCAGGAACAGTAAAATGTCTCACCATTCGCTGAATAATCCGATATTGCTGATAATCCTTCTTCCCAAATACAGCAACATCAGGCTCCACAATATTAAACAACTTGGAGACAATAGTAGCAACCCCTCTAAAGAACACAGGCCTACTTTTCCCACACAATCCTTTGTCCAATTTCTCAACTCTAACCCATGTTTCGTGCCCCATTCCCCTCTCCTCCACACATGACACCACCCCTTTCTGATAAGAAATTTTATTTTCCATATCAACATCGATCTCCTTCTTCTTATTTTCCCTATAGTCATAAAGATTCTTGGGAGCAAAAACAGCATCAACACACCCAGGAACAGACTTGAGCTTGAGTATATCACCGTGAAAATCAGATGGGTATGTGGAAAGGTCCTCGGAGGCAGAGAACTGACATGGGTTCACATATACGAAGACGACAACGACCTCGGTGTGCTTCTTCAACGAGCGACAGGTGGCCTTGGTGAAAGTAACCCATGGTGGGCACCAACCCTATCGTCTTCCCCTGGGATCTCGTGCTTCTTGACCATTTCCTTATCTCATCTTTCTCTGCGAAAATCACCAGTTCCTCAACCGCCATTGGTTGTCACAAAAGGGTCAGGATTTTGAATTGAAATTTGGAAGAGAAGAGGTCGAATTTTGCGCTAATTTGAAAATAAAATTATGACAGTATAAAAGTCAAACAAAATAGATACATTATGAAGGCGTGTCACAGGCATAATACGAGGAGAAAATTAAAAAATGTAATATTTAAATTAAAATAAGGCCACAGTTTAATTGTTAGGCTCTGGGGTTGGGCATTGAACACTAGCACGAAAATATTTAAGTTTGTACCGAAACTGTCATTTTGGGCCTAAAGCTCATTTCAACCAACCCGAAATCCAAACTTCGGGTCACTTTTTGGCCCACCAAACGGTTGCGGGCTTTCTTACCTAGGCCTAACCTACGTATCATAAAATTTCAATCTAAGACCTTTGATTGTAATATTTGTCTGATTAAATTAAAGGTTCGGTTGGATAAAAGTGAGTAAAGAAAACAGGAGGGAATTGGAAAAGAAAAGGACGTTATATAGCACTTCATTAAATGTACCAAAAATAAAATTCTTTAAAATTTTAAATCACGTTTGAGTTGTTTTAGTAAATTTCACAGCACTCTTATGATAAACTAATTTGTAAAAACATAATACACATGATTGATAATTTAGTGTTTTAGTTCCATCATTTACATAACACCTTATTCCTACTTTTACCAAAGAAC